ACTCAAAATCAATAATACAGTAAAAAAATTAATTCCCCAGAGAAGCATCATGGTATATCATAGAAAATAACAGTTTATAGAAAAACAAACCAAGGTTTAAATTAAGGTTCTGCTTTTATCTGAATGATAACCTCATCAATCTTTAATTTCCTACCTATAAAGTGAGGGTAATAATGTATAGAGTTGTGGTAATATATCAAAGTCTTTTGAAAAACTGAAAAAGATACAGGAATGTCAGATATTATTAAGTCATCCCCTTTCTTCTGTGGCTATATTTATACTAATATTCATGTTAGAGTTATTTATGTTTAGTTCTCTAGACGTTATCTAAATTCAGAAGCAATAACTGCTTTTTCCATGACTCTGAATCAGTGGATCCACAATGCACTACACAAAATACTTCACCAACAGTAAATATCTAAGAAGAGTTGTCTGAAAAACAAAAAGGAAATGATATCTTGCTTTAATTACATCAAATCACAAAAAATGTTTTGCCTATTTTAGGTACTGTACATATCTCAATAGAAATACTTGCTGAAAAGAATCCTTGTTAACTCAGAAAAGTCGTCTCCAAATCAAAGAACTGCTGTGTTGGAAGAGGATCTGAGTCCTTCTGTAGATCAGCTACTCTAATACTTATCTGATGCATACATAATTTCCCTCTGAAATACTCTTGATGGACAGGCATCCATCTGCTGTTTAAATACTTTCTAGAATTTTTTTCTTTTTTCTTTTTTGCAGGTAACTCTAATTGTTAGAAATCGGGTGAAATAAACTCTGTCTCCTGTAACTGCTATCCTTGTGTTTCCTCTGAGTGTCACACGAAACACATTCAATTCTTCTTTAGAACAGTTTTTTAAACTTTAGAAGAGAATACTCATGTCCCTTGCCAAACTTTTCATCTTCAGGTTAAAACTCTTCAGTTCTCTAATTATTTTATGTATGGCATATTTTAAGTCCCTCTACTCTGGACCAGTTCCATTTGCTGTGTGGCCCCCTCGCTGTACGCTAAACGAGTTCATGTGTTTTTACAGTGGGACTATCACCTTCTTTGCCACAAAATGTGTGTTTCTTTAGTCCAATCCACTGAAATCTTTATGGATATTGGACTGCAAGAAAATATATATGCTTTTCCTCTCAGCCTCATAATTATCAGCAGGTCAAAAGCAAAAAAAGAATGCTGCTCTTAAAATCTTGACAATTTGTGTTTTAAGCATTCAAGCAATCATTGGAACAGTCATATTACTAGACAAGATGGCTGTTAAAATACCTTCCTATGATGCTAGAGCTTGGAATAGGAAGTTTTATACATTCAGAAGTCAAGTCCTCCTCTGTCATGGGGATTTGTGGGTGTAGAGTGCTGACAAAGGAAGTCTGTGAGGCAAAAGTGAGGTCAAGCCTAGAATGAACCTAGAGCTGCCAAATCACACACCACTGCTAGCCCTTTATCAAATACAGTGATGATGTAACCAGAATTTTCCATGAGAGTCTTACCATGTTCTGTTCCATTTTTCCAGAAGTTACTATACTATTTCACTGTAAACCATATACACAATCCTGGAAAGAAATTTTAAAGGTCTGAAGAAGACTATAAGTATCTATACTCCAAATTCCTGCCCAAAATGCAAAAGTAGGAATGCCTATTTAAAAATCCTAAATAACACCATCAGTAGGACACTATATTAATTTAATTCATTAAGGATAACAATAACAACTTCTCAAGAGTCATTCCAGAGGATCCTGGAAAACAAACTACCAATCACAATTTACATGAAGTCCATGACTAGACAATCTGTGATCGACATGTTTATTGGCTGAATGGGTGGTATATTTTGGTTGCTCTCCCAGAACTTGGGTTGATAGACAAAGACTATATTTTAGGAAACCATAAACCTCAAACTCTTTTTTAACACTTGGCCAAGGCATCTAATAGACAATACAGTCATTCAAGAAAAGTTCAACAGTCTATACTATTCTTAATAAGGAAATCTAAGTGACTAGAAAATATAAAGACAACTATTTTTGACTGGAAGTAAAGTCAAAGATCAAGATGTTATGAGAAAGATGATATGGGAGATCCAGGACTAAACTATAGAGAGAAAATGCAAGGGCACAAGTGAAAGGTGCTTTCAGAAACCTTTCAGAAACTAGTTCTTTTTTGTTGTTGTTGTTAATCTGCAGTAAATTGGAATGTGATTAATTCCTAGAAAACAAGATAAAATATCAGGTACACATCAATGCTTATTAACTGAATCATTTTTTCAAAGAGGCAAAACAGAAATATTATAGTTTCTCAGTAAGAAAAGAGAATAATAGCATGAAGGCATTGGTTATATCTCAGAAAAATAAGTGGCTTCACAGTAATATTAACACTACTGTAACAATAGCAGTTAACATTATTATCTACTTACTATGTGCCAGGCTCTGTACTAAGCATTTTATATGTAGTCTCATTTAATCCTCATAATAACCCTTTGAATAAATGATATGGATACTGAGATTCAGAGTTTGAATGCTCTCTAGGGTCACAATAACCCTATGAGATAGGTTTTTATCCCCATTTACAACTGAGAAAATTGAGTCAGTGGTTAAAGAGGATGCACGAGGACACAAAACCAAGTGTGCAGGTCTAGGATTACTGGTATAGCTCTATGTACAGTCTAGTACAGCTCTCAACCACCCTCCAGGGATCTAGGGATCCAGGGAAATGCAAATTAAAACAAGATATCACTTGTTGTTCAAACTGGTCCAAATTAAAAAGACCAACATAGTCAATGAGCAAAATGAGTTCTGTCAATACTGTTGGTAGAAGAGTAAAACAGCGATTTTTTTTTTTTTCAGTAAAAACTCTTCTTACAAGAACAGATACTCTAAACGAAAGCTCAGAAAACAATTTACCCAATAAAAGGTGGACAATAGTCAGGTAGTTCCTTAATAAAACATTAGTTTTATTTTTCCCAAAGGTAGTAGCAAATTCTAGAATTCCTTTCCTTTTCTCTCTTAATTCTCAGATGCCAATAAAGGTTACCAGAGGATGAACATTCCATTGCTCCCACGCTAACTTTTATGAGGCTGCTTCCCTTGTAATTTAATCAGCCCCAGCTCAAACTTTTCCTGAAAGTCTGTTTCTTGACCCACTAATGTCATCACTGAATTGGTCAATTCACCTTCCCTTCTAATGAACTGACAGAGGTTCTTATGCTTTCTACTGTTTTCCATATTTGTCCCTTAGCCTCTTCCTCAACAGGTTCAAGAACCAAGACTGAAAATAAGAAGCTCAAACTTTCCCTCCTGCTTTGTTCGAAAGTCATCAAAAAGACCTCACCTTGTTTTTGGCAAAACATTAATTCCAATCCAACAAAAATGCTGTTTCTGAAATCTCTCAATTCTCCATAGTCTCTGGTTTACTGTCTACAGTACACATGTTGAGTAACAATATAAATTACTTAAGGGAAGAATAAAATCCATGTCATAGCTTTTCTAACACTTCAGCCATCTCATTTTACTCATATTATGAAGAGAAACATGGAAAGGCACAAGGAGCTGTAAAAAAGGTAGTTACTAAACTTCACTACATAAAAGCATTGTGAGTTTATCGTGAGTGGCATTATGCAAAGGTGATAATGCCTTCCGTTTTTTAAAACAAGCATAAGCAGGCCAGGTTCCATTTGAAAAATTTCATCTGTACACCCAAAATGTCCTGTAACTCTTTCGCACTTGTGTGTTAAAATTTACTGCCAAATTGGTTTCTGATTGTGACAAAACGATGAACATTTGCAGGGGTGAAACGGGCATTGTGAAAACACACAGGCACCTCAGAGAACAGCGCTTTACAAAACCTCCAGGGGAGAAGCCCTAAAGTGGTGACTACGTTTTCACTGAGAGAGGAATTTAAGAATGTTCCGTATTGTATGCATAGGATGTAAGAAGAGATAGGTCAGCAG